TTATGCACAAACAATGAATCATGGAACACTACATCAAAAACTAATGATGTAATGTATGGTGATTAACATAACAATAAAAATTTATTTAAAAGTGAAAAAAAAACTAATGATGTAATGTATGGTGATTAACAGAACAATAAAAAAATTTTTAAAAAAATAGAAGTAGGTGTGTGGCAAGAGGGTGGATAGTAGAAAGGGCCTATAGCTGGAAAATGCTAGTTTTAGGCTCTAGAGTTTAGAACTGGCTGCCTGATGATCAACTGACCAGGAACCCCGAGATTTTATAACTCCCAGTAAAGTTTGCCTGTCTCTTCCCATAGTGGCAAAATTAGGTAGAGGATTTACTAAGGAGGAAGTAAGGAGCCCTTTCATTGAAGAAAATTTTCTCAAGGGGAACTCCTTTGGGGCAGAGAGGGTAGAGGGACTTAAGTCTGGAGTATCTAGACTTCTGAATGAGAATCTCCTCCATGTCTGGCAACCATATCAACCATATCAACATTAGTACCTTTTGAATGGTTTTGGCAGTCCTGATAAAATATCGTAGTGCCTCATGGAGCATGTTTCTTTGTACTGTACCAGGGGAAAGCTAGGGGGTTTAGGATCTGTGGTATCTCAGAGGAAACATACATATAGCCCTGATGCATCTTGTGGAAGGTTATGGAATTTAGGGTTTTTAGAGATACCTGCCAGTTGGCACATTGTGGCAGCCCTACATAACAATTAAGAGCCTCTTCCAAACACCTGCCAATCAGCTCCTTTCTGTCCTTCCTGCTGCATAAAATCTTTAAAGGTTCGAATTTCAGTTACAGTATAATTTTCCATTTCAGCTTCTGTTGTCTTGATCTTCCATGTTGTTACTGGGAAAATTTGTGGAAGACATCCCTGTGAGCCCTCTTCATAAGCAGCCACCTCCCTTTCTATGGTGTCCCTGTTAACCTCTCTGGGATTGGAGTCCAGCTCCACTTGCTCAGCCCTCACAGTGTACTTGGGAAAAGTCACTAGGCCTTTGGAGCATAATACCAGAGCCTCTGTATGTTGGCATATAGAGGAATCAAGCAGTGCCCAGGAAGCTTCCCTGGAGGAATTTGCATTTATCAAGGACCTGGTGAACCTCCTTAAGGGTTTTAGGATGCACAGGCACAAGGTGTTCAGGACATCTATATTAGTCCATTAATTCTTTAGGGATGGAACCTGTAAAATTCCATCAAGCTGGGGGATGAAGAGCAATAGCTGCAGGTGAGGCAGCCACATAGAGAGCACAGGCCCCATGAAAGCTGTATTTCCCCTTTTATGGTGCCATTAGTTTCATGTTATGAGGCTATTTCACTCGTCAGGTTAGAACTCATAGACCTAGGATGACCCATTGACTCAGTGGTCATAGGGGGAGGTCTCCCTCTTCCTTGCCTACCAGAATATCCTTTCTTTATGGCTTTATCCCCAAGGCTCACCTTGGGTGGTACTAATAGCCCTGTGATCCAGTCCACACTCCTTAGCTCAGCTTGGCCCAAGGCATGGAGGACACTTACATGTATAAGTACTTAATTAAGGCCTCTATAACTATTGTTCTAACTAGCTCATTAAACCCTATGACCTTGATCATGCTGTTCTGGACAGATTGTTGAATTATTACAGCAGCAGTGACACTTCAGGATGGGTGCCTCAGGCAACACATGGCAGAAGCAATACACAGCAGTGCATAACTTTATGGTGAGCACAGCAGATGATGCTGTCTTCCCAAATGGTGTTACCCTCCTGGGTTAGCCCATTACTAAGCCAGTTGCCACGAAAGGGCCTTCCCCTCAGTTAATTGCAAATGCAATCAAGCAATCCTGTACTGTACCCAATTGTTGTCAGTTTCAGCCAAGTGTTGTGGCTGGACCAGCCCTTGTCATTCTTATTTTGATTGCAGGACAAACTTCAAAAACCATCAAGGAACTTGAGAAACTAGATTTATTACTCACAGGTCATAAAGGGAATACAGCTTAACTGAGGGCCACACAGTGAGGTCATGGGTAAAGGAACAAAGTGAGTGTAGACCTGAGGCTTTCTCTTTATTAGGATTCAAGGGTGGGGTGTCTAGAGTTTTGCAAGTTCAACCTTTATTGGCTAATTTAAAGCATAAGAGTGAGCATTAGGGCATGGGAAAGGAGAAGAGGGCTCCCTCAACTGGTAAGTTACCTAGGTTATTCAGGACCTACTGGAAGAAAAAATTCATGAGTAGGGGAGGCCTGATCCCCTGTCTGATTGTTTTGCTAGTAGCTGTGTCACATAGCTGGTAATGTTTATTTAAGATGGATGACTTTTGAAATGGATGCAATGACAATCAAAAGCTTAATGTTGGGCAATTTTACTAAATTTGTTTATTCTAACAGTTTTTGGGTGGAATCTTTATGATTTTCTGTATATAAAATTATATCCTCTACAAACAATTTTACTTCTTTTCTGATTTGGATGCCTTTTATTTCTTTGTCTTGTCTGATTGCTCTGGCTAGTACATCCATTACTATGTTGAATAAGACTGGTGAGAGTGCTGTTTTGTTCCTGATCTTACAAGAAAAGCTTTTAATCTTTCACTGTTGAGTATAATGTTAACTATGGGTTTGTCATATGTGGCCTTTATTATGTTGAGGTATATTTCTTCTATA